TGCTATTAAAAATCCATGTGTCCCATTAATGAGTAATTTACAGATAGCAATGTATCACACATCCATACAGTATCACAATGTAAAACCACTAAAGAGAATGAGTGAAACAGAAAAAGAAAGATGCCCAGCTAAGTTATTCGGCAGGCGAAAAAGTACTGTACAACATACATGTCTAAAAATCCCTCTTTTGTTTAAGGAGGGAAAAAAGAAGGCCTTGAAGAAGTTATACCAAAAACTATAAACAATTACTTCTTAGTACAGAACTACGGAGTCTTACAGTTCTTAAAACATTTCTGTTAATATCTGAATCTTCCCAATAATCATTGTTGTTTTCTAAGTAGAAAAAAATGATTTAAAAAAAACTGTATTAAAGTGGCCAGTTTGTAAAACTTGCAGCAAATATAATGACACTACTCTATAATAATTTTTTTAAACTCTACCATAGGTATTATTTTTAGCAGCAAGACTATTTTTATTTCCTAAATAAAATATTATTTAAAAGCCTATACATAAAGCTGATAAAAGAAACTGAAGTTGGTTGGGTACAGGAGGCAGCTCCATGCTCGTCCTCTGACTCTCTGACCTAGGAGAAAACTTACCACGTTTGAGGGACCCAGGCAGTCACAGGAAATGTGAAGAATTCAATAACAGGTAACCCAGGCAAGAGATTCTCAAGTGCTTGGGTTTAGCCCCTTGTGGTTAAAGAAGCCTCAGCACAGGACACATGGGGAGGTAACATCTGCTGTACCTTTCTTACACCATTTCTCCATGAGTGGGATAACTGTATCCATTCTGTCAAACACATCTAAAAGACCTACCTCACCAATCCCCACTCCTACCCATAACGTTCCACCCAGCAGCCTGGTCATTATTGGATCCAACTGTACCCTTTTTAAGTTAGGTCTAGATCTTTGTTTGCAGAGCCTAAAAGAATGTAAGTATGGTATCATATGCTAATCACTTAAATGACAGCCACCTTTGTTTTAAAAGATTCAAGAAATTTTAGAGGAATAGGCCAAAGATTTGAAATACAAACCTGAAAAAACTCAGTCCTATTATATCACCCGCAGACCCTTTGGTACAGGCAGCTCAGTTCCCAAACACAGCCTCTGTCTCTGTGACTGGGTGACCCTGTCATGATGTCCGTGGTTAGCCACTCTCTTACCTTGGACTTTGCATGCCAGGTGAAGTGCAGGAAATTTGTCTCACTGGGTACTAACAGATTAAAGGATAGAGCGTAGTGACTAATAAGGTCATTTCTCACATAATAAAGTTCTGCATCAAGACCTAGAAAAAAATAGGAAAAAAATAATTAAACACTTAAAATACCCTCAAAATCATCCCTATCAGTACTTCGAATACAAGTAAGAGTGAAGATAATATTGAGAAGCAAATGAACATCACAAATGGCCCTTATATAGACCGCCTTATGAAATAAGACACAGGGGTTTTTTTTGTTTTGTTTTGTTTTTAAGACGGAGTTTCGCTCTTGTTACCCAGGCTGGAGCGCAATGGCGCTATCTCGGCTCCCCGCAACCTCCGCCTCCTGGGCTCAGGCAATTCTCCTGCCTCAGCCTCCTAAGTAGCTGGGATTACAGGCACGCGCCACCACGCCCAGCTAGTTTTTTGTATTTTTAGTAGAGACGGGGTTTCACAATGTTGACCAGGATGGTCTCGATCTCTTGACCTCGTGATCCACCCGCCTCGGCCTCCCAAAGTGCTGGGATTACAGGCTTGAGCCACCGCGCCCGGCCGACATAGGGTTTTATTATTACCAAGAAAGATGAAGAAATTGGGACTTGAAACAATTGGGCAGTTATCCAGCTAAAAACAGGTGTGCTAGAACCAGAATTCTGGCAGCCCCTGTCTTCTGAGGGCCAGTGTGATGCTCTTTCTTCTGGACACAGTGCTTCTTAAAGTAATCGCTATAAAGAAATATCCCTTTTCCCAAAAAATTTATGTGGACTTAGGAAGGGAGATTCAAAATGAAAGGGAGAAAGGCACCTCGGATAAAACATAAGCCCAAGCCCAGCCTCAAGCCTCAGCCAGAGATGACCTCTGCTTCCTCTGACAACACAAGGTTCTTGCTGTTCTGACAGCATTTACCATGGTACACCCTCGTACCAGGTGCCTTGCAGGCACATGCTGTCTTCCCTACCCAGACTACAAAATGAAAATCACGTTTTTCATGGCATCTGCAGGACATAGCTATCTGCACAAAACATAAACACTTGTTAACCAAGAGGTTAGTACTACAGACAAAACAAAAATAAATGAAATGCCTGGAATGCCGGAGAAGCAACTCCCATTTCACTCATTAACAGACTACCTTCTCAACTAGGGCATATACAATCTCCAATATGTATCATGCTCTCAATTTTGTCACACCCTTTTATCCCACCTGTGTTTAATATTTTTCTTTAAAACTAATTTAATTTGTTAAAATAAAAAATGTTAAAGCAAAATTTAATCACTACTTTTCAGTGGTAGATCAACAGATACTGTTAAAAAAAAAGTTACCGGCCGGGCGCAGTGGCTCAAGCCTGTAATCCCAGCACTTTGGGAGGCCGAGGCGGGTGGATCACGAGGTCGAGAGATCGAGACCATCCTGGTCAACATGGTGAAACCCCGTCTCTACTAAAAGTACAAAAATTAGCTGGGCATGGTGGCACGTGCTTGTAATCCCAGCTGCTCAGGAGGCTGAGGCAGGAGAATTGCCTGAACCCAGGAGGCGGAGGTTGCAGTGAGCCGAGATCGCGCCATTGCACTCCAACCTGGGTAACAAGAGCGAAACTCCGTCTCAAAAAAAAAAAAAAAAAGTTACCAAAAAACAAAAACAAAACAAATGTACTAAACTCTAGCTCAAGTCTGGTCCCTACCAAGAAGGCAGTAAGCTTGAGCCTAGCTCACTGTTTACAAAAAGGGAGGAGGGAGGTATAATCGAGTGTTTGAGAAACATTAAAAAAAAAAAAAAAAAAATTACAGAGGATTTCTCCATGATCATCCAAGGAACTGAAAGACTAAAAGCAGGGAGTAACTTTTTCTTGAATTGATTTACTGTTATTTAAAGTTCTATCCAGGTGTCCTTGTAGTACACAAGACATACATAGTGCACAAGTTAGAGGGGGAAATATACTGTAGAGACCAGCCAAAATCCAAATTTCACATTTACTGAGCCTGACTATGGGGTCTGAAATCTCATTGTATGCAGAGGTCAAAATGTGAATCTCGCACCTCCTAAGAATACAGACCTAGAAACAAATCATTCTGCTATAGATATTTATCCTATAAAATTCGTTTTCTCATTTCCAAACTATAAAATAAAATCATTAATTCAGAAATGAAATTTAAGGCATGCTACATAAGGGAAAGCTGCTGCACTAGCTGGGTAGCACTGCTTTTGCTTATCCTACAAAGGATACTGAAAGCAGAGAGAGAAATGTAGACCCTTCTGCAAAAGGCTCTCCCTTGCTGGCAGGACAGGAAGTGTTAGTAAACATCCAGGAAAGGGGGACTGGTGGTGTTAGAGAAAAGGGTTAAAGGAGAAATTGTAAATAATTTAAATTTGCCTTTTTTCTTAAGTCTTAGTCTTACTCTAGTCTAGATAGGTGATGTTTACTTAGAAAATATATAGCAGGTAAATAAAAAGAAGAAAAAGTAAATGAAGCAGTATTGACATAAGACAAACTAGAACTCAAGGTAAAAAGATTTCATACTAGTAAATGAAGATAAAATTAACAAATGAGGTCATATTAATAAAAACCACAAGAAGATACAGTAATACAACTGAAAAAAACCCTTCAAATATAGAAAGCAAAATCAAACAGGACAAAAATGCAAAAAGAAATACACAAATCCACAATCACAACTGGAAACTAACATCCTCTCAGAAATCAAAAGATCAAACAAGTTGAGTATGGTGTTACACCTGTAATCCCAGCTCTCTGGGAGGCTGAGGCGGGAGGATCACTTGAGGCTAGGAGTTAGACCAGCCTAGGCAACATAGCAACAACTCATCTCTACAAAAAAACTTTTTTTAAAATTAGCTGGAGTGGTGGGGCACACCTGTAGTACTAATTACTCAGGAGGATGAGGAGTGAGGATGGCTTAAGCTCAGGAATCTGAGGTTACTGTGAGCTATGATCACACCACTGTACCCCAGTCTGTGTAACACAGTAAGACCCTCTCTCTTTAAAAAATAAAGAGATCGGCCAGGCGCGGTGGCTCAAGGGCCGGGCGCGGTGGCTCAAGCCTGTAATCCCAGCACTTTGGGAGGCCAAGGCGGGTGGATCACGAGGTCGAGAGATCGAGACCATCCTGGTCAACATGGTGAAACCCCATCTCTACTAAAAATACAAAACATTAGCTGGGCATGGTGGCTGCTTGCCTGTAATCCCAGCTACTCAGGAGGCTGAGGCAGGAGAATTGCTTGAACCCAGGAGGCGGAGGTTGCAGTGAGCCGAGATCGCGCCATTGCACTCCAGCCTGGGTAATAAGAGCGAAACTCCATCTCAAAATAAATAAATAAATAAATAAATAAATAAATAAATAAATCGATCAAAACAGATACAAATTTAGTATGGACATAGATGATTTGAACATACAATTATGGGACATGAAAAAGTGAGAGGGGATTAATCATGAATTAGACCACATGCATTTTTTTTTTTTTTTTTTTTGAGACGGAGTTTCACTCTTGTTACCCAGGCTGGAGTGCAATGGCGCGATCTCGGCTCACTGCAACCTCCGCCCCCTGGGTTCAGGCAATTCTCCTGTCTCAGCCTCCTGAGTAGCTGGGATTACAGGCACACGCCACCATGCCCAGCTAATTTTTTGTATTTTTAGTAGAGACGGGGTTTCACAATGTTGACCAGGATGGTCTCGATCTCTTGACCTCGTGATCCACCCGCCTTGGCCTCCCAAAGTGCTGGGATTACAGGCTTGAGCCACCGCGCCCGGCGACCACATGCATTTTTAAAAAATTTTTAATACAGGCGTCCCCGCGTGTGTGCGCCTAATCTCAGCTGGTCCACCCGAGACCCCTTGAGCACCAACCCTAGTCCCCCGCGCGACCCCTTATCCACTCCGACAAGATGAAAGAAACAATCATGAACCAGGAAAAACTTGCCAAACTGCAGGCACAAGTGCGCATTGGTGGGAAAGGAACTGCTCGCAGAAAGAAGAAGGTGGTTCATAGAACAGCCACAGCAGATGATAAAAAACTTCAGTTCTCCTTAAAGAAGTTAGGGGTAAACAATATCTCTGGTATTGAAGAGGTGAATATGTTTACAAACCAAGGAACAGTGATCCACTTTAACAACCCTAAAGTTCAGGCATCTCTGGCAACAAACACTTTCACCATTACAGGCCATGCTGAGACAAAGCAGCTGACAGAAATGCTACCCAGCATCCTAAACCAGCTTGGGGCAGACAGTCTGACTAGTTTAAGGATACTGGCTGAAGCTCTGCCCAAACAATATGTGGATGGAAAAGCACCACTTGATACTGGAAAGGAAGATGATGATGAAGTTCCAGGTCTTGTGGAGAATTTTGATGAGGCTTCCAAGAATGAGGCAAACTGAATTGAGTCAACTTCTGAAGATAAAACTTGAAGAAGTGACTGGGAGCTGCTATTTTATATTATGACTGCTTTTTAAGAAATTTTTGGCCCGGGCGTGGTGGCTCAAGCCTGTAATCCCAGCACTTTGGGAGGCCGAGGCGGGTGGATCACGAGGTCGAGAGATCGAGACCATCCTGGTCAACGTGGTGAAACCCCGTCTCTACTAAAAATACAAAAAATTAGCTGGGCATGGTAGCGTGTGCCTGTAATCCCAGCTACTCGGGAGGCTGAGGCAGGAGAATTGCCTGAACCCAGGAGGCGGAGGTTGCGGTGAGCCGAGATCGCGTCATTGCACTCCAGCCTGGGTAACAAAAGCGAAACTCCAACTCAAAGAAAAAAAAAAAGAAAGAAATTTTTGCTTATGGATCTGATAAAATCTAGATCTCTAATATTTTTAAGCCCAAGCCCCTTGGACACTGCAGCTCTTTTCAGTTTTTTGCTTATACACAATTCATTCTTTGCAGCTAATTAAGCCAAAAGCCTGGGAATCAAGTTTGAAACCAAGGTTAATAAAGTTCTTTGCTTAGCAAAAAAAAAAAAAAAATTTTAATACAAAAACAGATTCAAACCAAAATCATACAGGCTACCTTCCCTGATCAAATACCATATTACGAAGATTTTAATTATAAGGATGAAGCCAAAAGAGTATTATTTGAAAAGATTAGTAAAATAGTTAAACCCTTCACAAGACTGCCCAAGGAAAAAAGAGAAAAAACATCAAACACAATTTACTAGTACTAGGAATGAAGAGGAAATATTACTACAAATCCTAAAGATGTTAAAAAGATAAAAAGATTATAAACAACTTTATGACAATAAAATCAACTAGTTAGATGAAACAGAAAAACCCCTGAAAAACATAATTTATCAAACTAAAAGAAATAAAAATTTCAAACAATTAAAAACCTACCCCAAAAGAAAGCTCCAGATGGCTTCATTAGCGAATTCTATCAAGCATTTAAGGAAAATACAACACCAATCTTACATAAACTCTATCCAAAAACAGTCAAAGAGAACACTTCCTAACTCATCTGATGAGGCCAGCAGCATTACACTGACACAAAAACCTTACTAAAACATTATGAGAAAAGAAAATTACAGAACAGCATCCGTCATGAACATAGACACAAACATTCTCCACAAAATATTAGCAAATTCAATACAAGAATATATAAAAGGATTAATACATCATGGCCAAGTATATATGAAAGGTTAACCTTTTAAAAATCGGTATAATTTATCACATTAACAAAAAGAAAACCTGTATCGGCCGGGCGTGGTGGCTCAAGCCTGTAATCCCAGCACTTTGGGAGGCTGAGGCGGGTGGATCACAAGGTCAAGAGATCGAGACCATCCTGGTCAACATAGTGAAAACCCCGTCTCTACTAAAAGTACAAAAAATTAGCTGGGCATGGTTGTGCGTGCCTGTAATCCCAGCTACTCAGGAGGCTGAGACAGGAGAATTGCCTGAACCCAGGAGGCGGAGGTTGCGGTGAGCCGAGATAGCGCCATTGCACTCCAGCCTGGGTAACAAAAGCAAAACTCCGGCTCAAAAAAAAAAAAAAAAAAAAAAAAGAAAACCTGTATCATTTCAACAGATACAGAAAAAGCATTTCATAAAATTCAAAGCCTATTAATGATCAACAAACTAGGAACAGAGACAAACTTTCTCAGTTTGGTAAAGAACATTAAAAAAAAAAAAAAAAACCCTACAGCTAATATCATACTCAATGATGAATTATTAAATCCTTATTCTTAAGATCAGAAATAAGACAAAGATGTCCACTTCCACAACTTCTATTCAACCCTGTACTGGAGGTCCCTAGCCAATGTATTAAGACATAAAAAGCATAAGGATGAAGTAAAACTGTCATTGTTTAAAATTACATAATCGTATGTATAGAAAACACTATGAAATCTGCGAAAATACTAATAAAACCAACTAGTGAATTTAGCAAGGTCTCAGAATACAAAGCCAATATTTTAAAATCAATTGTATTTCTATATTAGCAACAACTAGAAAATAAAACTTAAAAATCAATACTATAACATTAAAAAATACCAGGGGACCTCTAACTAAAGCTACGTAAGATCTCCACATTGAAAACTATAAAACATGGCTAAGAAAAATTAGAGAATTTAAATTTAAAAAGCGGAGAGACACACTGTACCATTCTCTTAGGTACCACTATTACTGTTAATTTGTCAAGTCTATCATATTGATCTGCAGATTCAAAGTAATCTTAATCAAAATATCAATCGCTTTTTTGAAAAAATAATCATGAAATTTAAATGTCAACAATCTTGAAAATGAAAATGCCTTGAAGAGGAACCAAGGCAATTCAACTGAAGCATTTTCAACAAGTGATGCTAAAGCAACTGGATGCATAAATGTATGGAAAAAAATAAACCTTAAAATGAAAATTAAAACCACAATGAGATACCACCTCATTCCAGTTAGGATGGCTATTATACTGCTGGTGGGATTGTAAACTAGTACACCATTAGGAAAAAAACTTTGGAGGTTCTTTAAAAAATTAAAAGTAAGGCCAGGTATGGCAGTTCACGCCAGTAATCCCAGTGTGTAGGAGGCCGGGATCAGAGGATCATGTAAGCCCAGTAGTGTGAGATTAGTCTGGGCCACGTGGCAAGACACTGTCTATAAAAAAAATGTTTACAATTAGCCAAGCATGGTAGTGTATGCCTGCATTCCTCACTACTCAGGTGGCTGAGATGGGAGGCTGGCTTGAGCCCAGGAGTCCGGGGCAGCAGTGAGCTATGATCATGTCACTGTACTCCAACCTGGAAGACAGAACAAGACCCTGTGTTCTGGGGGTGGGGGGTGGGGGGCGGGGGAGAAGAACTACCATATGATCCAGCAATCACACTAGTGGTTACGTATCCAAAGAAAACGAAATCAGTATGTTGAAGAGGTATTTGCATTCCCATGTTTATTGCAACACTATTTACAATAGCCAAGATATGAAATGAACCTAATTGTCCAACAAGGAATTAATGAATAAGGAAAACATGGTAAATGTACACAATGTAATATTATTCAACCTTTAAAAAAAATGGACATTGTGTCATTTGCTACAACATGAATGAACCTGGAAGACGTCATGTTAAGTGAAATAAGCCAGACACAGAAAGACAAATACCGCATGATATCACTCATATGTGGAATCTTTAAAAAAAAAATGTGTATCATAGGAGTATAGTAGAGCAATGACTACCAGACTGAGGAGGGGAGGGGAAAGTAGAGGATGGGGAAAAGTTGGTCAGTGGGTACAAACTTACAGTTAGGTAAGAGGAATAAATTCTGAGGTTCTAACACACAGCAGGGTGACTAGTTAACAGTAAAATACTGTATATCCCAAAATAGCTAGAAGAGATGCTTTTCAAGGTTATTACCACAAAGAGATGATAAATGTATGAGGTGATGAATATACTAACTACTTTGCTTGGATCATTATACAGCAGAGATATGTACCAAAACACCAAATAAACCCTATAAATATGTACAATCATAATGTGTATATAAAACTAAAAATTTAATAAATGTAAAAAAAACTCTTCCTAGGGTTGTAAGTAAAAAATTAAATAAACCTTGACTCCTATCTTACATATCATATACAACCCAATTTGGGTTATAAACCTAAATTTAAAAGCCAAAACTATAAAGCTTCTAAAAGAAAATGTAGCATAGAAGAGGCCCTCTCTGCCAGAGCGGAGTGCTCCCTCTCTGGTGCTCTGCCGCTCTTGCTCTGGCTCCCTCACCCTCTCTCCTCCCTCTCTTTTCCTCCCCTCTCCTCTGCCTCTCTCTCTCTCTCTCTCTCTCTCTCTCTCTGTCTCTCTCTCTCTCTCTCTCTTTCCCCGCCCCCCCGCCCCGCCTCCCTCCCTCCCTCCCTCCTTTCTGTCTGTCCATCCCTCTCTCCCTTGCTCTCCCTCAGGCTGAAGAAGAAGAAAAAAAACAGGATAGAAACAGGAGAGAAAATCTTCACAACCTGCGGTAAGCAAAGATTTCCTGGACAGGTGGGTGACAAAGAACGTAAAGCAACCAGAAAAAAACTGAAAAAATGGTCTTCATCAAATTTTAAAACTTCTGTCCCTCAAAAGACATTGTTAAGAAAATGAAATTAAAGTCGCAAACTGGGAGAAAATATTCCCAACACATATATCTAAGAAAGAACTTGTCTGGAGAAAAGCGAGAAGTGTTGGCTGATTTTTTTAATGATTTGTTTCTAACATATATAAAGAACTAAACATTTTTAAACCAAATTAAATGGACAAAAGATGTGAGCAGATATTTCATAATTATATACATAGCCAATAAACATATGTAAACATCCTTAGTCATCAGAGAAATACAAATGAACACCACAATGACAGCCATTAGCACCCAAGAGAATAACTAACATTAAACATTGGCAAGGAGGTGGAGTAACTATTATACAACACCTATACATTACTAAGCGTATAAAAACGTTCAACTACTTTGGAAAACACAGTGTCTTGCAAAGTTAAACATGCACCTATTCTATGATCCAGGAATTCCACTTCTGGGTCATTATCCAAAAGAAAACATATGTCCACAAAAAGACTTATGCACAAATATTCATATCCCTCCCCATCACCTTTTTTTTTTTTTGAGACGGAGTCTCACTCTTGTTACCCAGGCTGGAGTGCAATGGCGTGATCTCAGCTCACCGCAACCTCCGCCTCCTGGGTTCAGGCAATTCTCCTGCCTCAGCCTCCTGAGTAGCTGGGATTACAAGCATGTGCCACCATGCCCAGCTAATTTTTTGTATTTTTAGTAGAGACGGGGTTTCACCATGTTGACCAGGATGGTCTCTATCTCCTGACCTCGTGATCCACCCGCCTCGGCCTCCCAAAGTGCTGGGATTACAGGCGTGAGCCACCGCGCCCCCACCCCGTCACCGTTCTTTGAGACAGAGTTTCACTCTGTTGCTCAGGCACCATCTCAGCTCATTGCAACCTCTGCCTCCCAGGTTGAAGTGATTCTCCTGCTTCAGCCTCC